ATTAAAAACAATGAATATGGCACACACAGGCACACACGTCCGGATAAAAAACGCCGATACACATGTAAATAAAATAGAAAACAATGAACAATAAAAGGAAATAGGCGATGAAGTGAAAATATGAAAAAAATGTGTGAACGACCATGAGCATGAGTTTTAAAATCCCGTGTAAGGCGGGAAAGAAATCATGATACAAGGTTAACCAGAAAAATTGAACAAACAGTAAATATGAACACTCGGAGATACAATGTGTACTTCAAAAACACGTAAAAATGTATAAAGTGAAATGAAAAACATAAGAAAACCTTAAAAATAGAAATATTTAAAATCAAAAAATTAAAATTAATAAGAATCGCCTACCAACAGTGACTAGTTAGTAGCCCGGAGGTGGTTACGGAGCGAGCGAAGCGAGCGGAGTCTTACGTAGAATAACGGAAATTTCTGAGTATGAGCGGCCGGCCGGCCGGCCGGCCGTGGTCACGCTTTTGCGAGGCTTATATCTCAGCAACCACTTGACCGATTTACATGCGGTAATTTTTGTAGGGTAGCTTCATTCCTTCTACCAAGTATTGGACTATTCCCGATGCATGTGGGTGACCCCTTATGCACGTGCCACGTGCAAAACGAAGAGGTGTCACTTTTGTAATTGTTGCAATATCTCGGTAACTACTTGGCCGATTGCGCTGAAAGTTGGCATATAGGTAGGCACCCACTAGGCACTGCATATCCATGTGCCAGAGTTGGGGTGCTGCTGCACGTGCGCACGTGCAGGGGTCGTTTTCAGATCTCGAGAACGGCTGGACCGATGGCGCTCAAATTTGGTACATGGTTAGGGACCGGTTAGTAGGGTGCCGTGCAAAAGTCAGTTGGGACCCATTTTGCACGTGCGCACGTGCAGAGTGCCGCTTCCAGATCTCGAGAACGGCTGGGCCAATTGTGCTCAAATTTGGCACATCGCTAGAGATCGGTTAGTAGGGTGCCGTGCACAAGTCAGCTGGAGGTACCACCTCGAAATTTCGCACGTGCAAGGCTCACCCTCTCGCTCGCTCCGTTAGTCGCCCCAAAAGGCGCTATACTGGTTGTTACGGAGCGAGCGAAGCGAGCGTAGTCTTTCCTTAGATTAACGGAAATTTCTGAGTATGAGCGGCCGGCCGGCCGGCCGTGGTCACGCTTTTGCGAGGCTTATATCTCAGCAACCACTTGACCGATTTACATGCGGTAATTTTTGTAGGGTAGCTTCATTCCTTCTACCAAGTATTGGACTATTCCCGATGCATGTGAGTGACCCCTTATGCACGTGCCACGTGCAAAACGAAGAGGTGTCACTTTTGCAATTGTTGCAATATCTCGGTAACTACTTGGCCGATTGCGCTGAAAGTTGGCATGTAGGTAGGCACCCACTATGCAATGCAGATCCATGTGCCAGAGTTGAGGTGCTGCTGCACGTGCGCACGTGCAGGGGTCGATTCCAGATCTCGAGAACGGCTGGACCGATGGCGCTCAAATTTGGTACATGGTTAGGGACCGGTTAGTAGGGTGCCGTGCAAAAGTCAGTTGGGACCCATTTTGCACGTGCGCACGTGCAGGGTGCCGCCTCCAGATCTCGAGAACGGCTGGGCCGATTGTGCTCAAATTTGGCACATCGCTAGAGACCGGTTAGTAGGGTGCCGTGCACAACTCAGTTGGAGGTACCCCCTCGCAATTTCGCACGTGCAAGGCTCACCCTCTCGCTCGCTCCGTTAGTCGCCCCAAAAGGCGTTATACTGGTGGTAAGTTCGTAACGTATTCGTAACGTAACGACTTGAGCTTTGTACGCAAAAAAGCTGGTCGTGAAAAAGTCGTCTTTGGAATGAGCGAGGAATGAGTTTGTCTCTCTTGCGACACGACAATCCAGCCCGTTCTGGACCGTGCTGATTCGGGCGCGACTCTCAGCAAACAGTGCTGCAGTGCGCGTCGGTCGGATAGGCACGCGTAAGGGGAATCGGGATAGGAGTATCTCAGAGTTCAGTTTCTCAGAGAACAGACCCTTTAGGAACAGGAGGTCGTGTTGGGCTCTTCGAGAGGAAAGGAACGGGACGCGGAAATGCTTGGATAAATCTGGATAGGTAAGTGATGGGCAAGGATTGTTGGAGTGGTGGTTTAACCAGAGGAAAAACTTGTGCTGAATCCGATCGACGCGAACTGTGTGGGAAGTGGCTGCGCCTGCCCAAATGACCGTTCCGAACTCAAGGACAGGACGCGGGTCTGCGCAGTACGCAGCTAACAGAGGCTTTGTATTGAATTTGGCTTTTTTAGATCCAGTTTGAAATGAGCGAATGAGAAACCCGAGAGACCGGTTGGCTCGGGCAGCGATATGGTTTATATGGCCCGAAAAGGTCAATTTTGAGTCCAGAACAATGCCGAGATCACGAATACTCTTGACGGGCTCGAGACTGGTGCCTCCGATACTACACGGTTTCATGGCTGTTAGCGGCATGAAAATAGCAGCTAAGGGCGGCTGAAATTTGGCACGGGAATAGCAGGTGAAACTGCTAATCTTTTTTACCAGTGTAGGGTGGATGCAACGACCCTAGGGTTCTGGTTGTCTAGGAAAGTTGCAAACTCCCTTCACAACCAGTTGGTCTGCTCCCTGTGTAACAATATACCCCAGAAAATGCATGCTAACCTTAGTTCAAAAATTAGTCTTCACGAGTGTGGTTACTGGCTACCCGAAACACTGGACAGTACCACTCTCCTGTTGCCCGGATACAGCCATGGCCAGGAAGGACGGCAGCGGCCGCACCGGGGGCGGCGTGGCCATCACCTACAGGGACAGCCTCACCGCCGCGCGGCTGACAGCTCCCAGCGCCGGCTCGGCGCTCCTATCCCTGTGGCTGCAGTTGACTTGACTGGCCGCAGACATATCGTCACTAGCGTCATCTATCGACCGCCGGGAGAATCACCGGTACCTGCCGTCCAGCGGGGCGCGCTCCGAGCTTTTAACATTACGAAAAGTGGACACACCTTCGCTAGCGCTGTCAGCACCGTGAGCATTATAAACAACACATGCAGTAATTCCACCAATCAAATACTCGACGCTCATTGGCTGATAAGCCAGTGACGATTTTGGGGGTCAGAGCGTTAGGTAGTGGTAACCTATAGCAGCACGGGCCGTTCATTTTAGGACTTGATTTTGACATTATTAAGGCCAGTCTGATAAAAAGTCGAATCGTTTATGAAAACTGCAATTCATTCTAGTAGTGGTCCGACAAGTCTTTTTACTTTTTTCTGAAATAATTCGCTGAAACATGAGTTATTAGATGCGTACTCATAGTCACGCCAAATTTGCTCAGTTACCATGGCAGCCTGAGTTTGGTTGGTCCCGAGGGTCGCGGTTACTAAATTCATTTTTGTCCCCAGTTTTTCGTCGGGAGCGCCCTACCTGGTTTAGATAGCCTTGATGTGCTGCCGTCGACGATCTCCACGCTTAACTCGCCGGACCTATTGGTTTTCTACGTACGCGCCGGCCGAGGGGGGGGGGTACGACCCCCCTCGCCGTTTCGCCCCTGGTGGAGTTAGCGCGTCGTGGAAAAAACGAGCGAGCGTGTGCGCCGTTACGAGACGCTAGGATTGATACCAGATTTTAAGGTCATAGGTCAACCGGTGACCTCTCAGGTCAGGTCAAGTATCCCAAGGCCGGTTCCGTTTTTGGTGAACAACTTCGCAAAAAACGGCCGCAAAACCGCCATTTTGGCAGCATCGTGTCCGCATCGCTCAGGCGCATCGAATGATATACTTTTTGTTTGGGTGACGTCAACTTAGGCTATTGACCTCGGGTCACGGTCAGGTCAACGCCCCCAGGTCCCGAAATTGGCCGCAGGGTCATGTCGCATGACGCATAGCATTCGATTCGGTAGGTCTTCCTGAGTTCATTGGTAGCTTCCCGACTCGCTAGCTCAATTTGATCGGGAGTTATTGACGAAAAACTGAGATGACCCTAATTCGTCATAAATGACGTCACGCAACGTCAACATTGCAAAAGTGACGCATCAAACATGTGCATGAAATCACGATTCTGTGTGCTTGGGATAGTTGGAGATCGTTCCCGGCGCCAGAATAGCAGTTTTCATTTTTCCCCATTGACTTATAATGGTGAGGTCACGAAAATGACCTGACCTCATATGACCTCTAGGAAAAATTCGAGATATACAAGTTGTGAGACTCGTAATGGGTACTAGATCCTGCAAGTTTCATTTCCCTGTGAAAGGTCCTCTGGCAGTGAGGGCGTTGCTAAGTTGCGACATCTGGAGACCGTGCAGAGGTACACTTATGACGTCATAGGTCAGTGACCTGACCTGACCCGAAAATGCGGTTGGTGTCAACAGATCCGGTTTGAATCAAAGGTAAGGTATGCCAAGTTTCAGCTCTCCATCGCCAGGGTGTTCGGAGCTATCGCGAAAAAAAACCCTATGGGGGGGGGGGGCGGCACCCGCCCCCCCACCTCGGCCGACGAGGGTTAACTCCGGCACATCATGGCGAGAGGCAGACCGGCGTATATTCTTGGCGACACCAGCTTCGACATCCTGTGACCGTCCCAAGCGGTAGTGACAGCGTACTTGCAGCTGCTGAGTAACCTCTCACTTAGCCAGCTCATTCTCTCCCCGGAACCCGACGAACCCGACCCTTACTTTAAACACAAAGTGTGAAATTGATGTAGACGAGGGTAATCAAACTTTCGTGTTGATACGTTCAAAGGTTTTGAAAATATATTAGAAAAACGGGACGAGCTCTGTAGAGCCCCCCCCCCCCCCTCATGCGCCAGTAGCTCAGCAACTGTCCAGAGCCCACGTTACTATGCGGTTCGAAAAAAAAAATGAGGCAATGTAACATTGATGCCAGCTGAATGAAAATGAAAAGTTGCTGGTTAATAAATTAGAAAACACCATTATGACTGGTGATCACATAGACACAAATCAAAGCACACGGGGTGAGCTTGAGAACACACCATTAGAAATACTCACTGAAGAGCATCCATCCTCCTGCTCATCTGTTCCATTGCCTTGCAATGATTTTGGTTCTTCACATTCCAGAAACTCCTCAGGGCTGCAAAGTTAAAGATCTGTCATAAAGGTGGAAACTGAACCTTTTCATTAACCTGGCAGTTGCTGGGGTATTTCGCCACCTGCCAGTTGCTGGGGGAAGCGTTAAACGCCCCTAGCCGATCAGGGGCGGATCCAGGAAAACTCCAAGGGGAGGGTCATGAATCGAAGTGGTGCCCCTACCTACAGGGTGTTTCACTAAAAGTGTCAAAAAGTAAATGCTTATTAAAGATATATAGAATATGCAAATCACGTGGCTGCGCACGTGGCTTTGTTGCAAATTTTTGGACATTTATTATTTATCCATTTAAGATATATTTTACACTCATACGGAGCGAGGGCAGGAGGCCAAAGTTACTAGTCATTTTTTCCTTATGCAGAACAAGAACAGTTATTTACACCGCAACAGGAGGGGTGAATTACACTTATGTACATTTGGTGCCATCAGAAACATTGAAACCGTATGCCGACTTTTCAGGAAACTTTTTACTCTCTCACCTCGCTACGTTCCAGATTATAAAAGTTTCAAAGGGCTTGTTGAGAGGTTTAAAAGGGTCCCTTCGATGCCGGTTCCAGTCCAAAAAAGGCGGGGTTGCCCCCACCTCTCGGCGGAAACCGTTGAGAAGGTCAGGGTCTTTTTGAGGGCCTTTGAAGATAACAAGAAGCTAATTCCAACATCAGAAATAGCCAGGGTCTTACAAGTTATTAAAATCAACCACTGTAACGGCTGTAGCCACCAGCAACTGACTGGACCAGAAGCTCCTGGGCCGAATAATCTGCTGCCTCGCCGCTCGCCAGCCAGCGCGAAGCCCCGATCTGTCACCGCTAAGCCTCTGGTTTGGTCAGTGACTCAGTAGCTCTCGCAGAGCTGAGGAAGACTCAAGTCGCATCACTTCGGGAGCTGAAGAGCACAATTCAAGGCTTTGCCGACAGTCTGGACGCTGAAGATGAAAACGGGCTGTGAGGCACCTCCGGACACGTGCCGAAACGGTGCATCAAAAGAAGGGGCAGATGTGTGGAATAGGTTTGAGTGACGGTGATATCGTTTTTATATATTCAAATGTCCAACAATTGCGGATGAAATGATATGCAAATTTCCTCAGAAAACATTGTTATTATGTGCATTATGACCTTTTACTTTTTGACATTTTTAGTGAAACACCCTGTATACCCAAAATTAAAAACTCAACGGATTTCGTCCACTTCATTTTGGTGGTGCCCCCATTTTCAGTTTTTTTTTCTTTTTATTTTTTTTTTAGTCAGTATCTTAACTCTTAGCCACGACCACATTTACCATTTGTAAGCAAGTATATATGAATGTGCTATGTGTATATATGTTGTGGACGCTGAGTAATGAGTACTTACCAGGAACGTTATCAGGTAAGCAAATCGTTGTCAGTCCGACGAACTTGACCCTGGCGTCTAAAGGGTCTGTCCTTGACACTTCAGGCTTGTCAAGGGCACCAAAGTCCTTCCAGGGACACCACAAACCTGCCAGGGGCACCTACGGCCTTGTAGGGGCGCCACAGGCCCGCCAGGGGCACCACAGGCCTGCCAGGAAGCAGGGGCACCGCAGGTCTAGCAAGTATACACGACAGGCCTGTCAGGGGCACAACGGGCCTGTTGGGCCCATGAGCACCCCTAGGGGCAGGGGCACCAGTCCTTCCAGGGGCACCGCAGGCCTGTGAGGGGCACCAGCGGCCTAGCAGGGGCACCAGTCAACACAGGCCTGCCAGGGGCACCACAGGCCTGCCAGGGGCACCAGAGGCCTGCCAGGGGCACCAGAGGCCTGCCAGGGGCACCAGAGGCCTGCCAGGAGCACCACCGACCTCGCAGGGGTAACTTGGGCCTGTCAAGGCACAGGGGCACCACGGGCCTGTCGAGAGGCACTTCAGGCTTTTCAGGGGCACCATAGTCCTCTCCGGGCGCAGGGGTAGCAGGGGCACCAGAGGCCTGCCAGGGGCACTGCAGGCCTAGCAAGGGCACCACTGGTCTATCAGGGGCACCACGAGCCGCCTGTCATAGCCAGGCATCTCAAGCTTATCAAGGCCCAGGGGCACCACAGGTCTGTGAGGGGCACCAGCGACCTAGCAGGGGCACCAGTCAACACAGGTCTGCCAGGGGCGCCACAGACCTGCCAGGGGCACCACAGACCTGCCAGGGGCACCAGAGGTCTGCTAGGGGCACCACCGGCCTCGCAGGGGCACCTTGGGCCTGTCAGGGTCACCACGGGTCTGCCGAGGGGCACTTCAGACTTTTCATGGGCCATGACCCATGTGACCCCCCCCTTGGATCCGCCCCTGTAGCCGATAACTCGAGAACCAATAGGCGCAGCTAAACGCGAGGGGAAGCAAACGAAAGAACGCGACGAGACGCTCCGAAAGCACAGTGATGCAAATGGGGTTCACGAGTGGCCATAAATACGAAAAAGGCCCAAAATTCAAGTTCACTTAATCGAATAAATCGTAATATGGTCAGTCAGGCAAATGTTTGGGGTGTCTGAAAAAGTATGATTTTAATGTTTTTGTCAAAACCGGCCTCGTGTAGGATTGTCAGAAGTCGAGACATTTTCGATGTCGTAAAATGACTGTCAGGTACTTGAAATTCAAGTGCCGCTAGCGTGCGTTCATGTCATACAAACTGCAAAAATTATACATGAAAATGATCCCCGAAACCTGCTGCTTCTAATACCATGTCATAAAAAGCCGCATCTATTTTGGTTTGGCGGTGAGCTTTGGCGGTGAGCTTTGTAATCATGTTGCAACCGCAGTTTTTTACCAAAAATATTTGCTTTCGATTCACCTACAGCACTTCACACAATGTGTGCCCGTTAGTGCACCATATCATAACATTCCCTAATCATTTCTGAGTCGCATCGTGAAAGAATTAAGGCGCTAGCACAGGGCTGACCGGCGCTACAGAAGTTTTCGTCCGGCACGGTCGGGTGCCGCGGCGCAGCGGGCAACTTGCGAGTGTCTGACCGTCATTTTACGACCTAGAAAATGTCACAACTTTTGACGATTATACACAAGGCCGGTTTTGACAAAAACATGAAAACCATGTGATTTCAGATGCCCCAAACATTTGTCTACTCGGTCATATCCCAATTAACTCGATTTGGTAAACTTGACTTTTGGGTATTTATGGCCACTCGTGAACCCCATTTGCATCACTGTGGAAAGAGTACTTGAAAGATGAATTTCTAGGTTACAGGTCTGGTTAAGGTTAGACCAAACACCCGAAATTGGGTTTTCAGTAGCATGGACTCTAGAACCTCGTACCTACTGAGTGTCCTCTTCATAAGCTCTATCAAGACTGTACATAATCCTTCATATAAGTGCTACACGAGCATTAGATCTATGTAGGGGTCAATCAAGCATAGGTCAGGGTAAAGGCCAGTCAGGTCAATCCGGTAAGAGCACATCCCCGAAAAGCAAAGTTGGCATTCGCAGCACATGGGGCATGTTTTATGGGAACTTTTAGGCTTAGAACACGTTGGTGACATTCATTTAGCCATACAAGTACATGTTTGCTAAAAAAAGATCAATTTAAGAAATACATGTATCATGGTCGTGAGGTAGTCACGAAAGATTGCCAAGATTCAGTTCAAGATTTTGGAAAATGTAGAACGATAATCAGAAAAAGAAAATATCCATTTGATTCTTCACATATGAAAATATCCATTTGATTGTCTGGACAGCGAGTTGCGTTGGCGAGGCCGGAAATAGTGGCGATTTCAGGACGGCAAGAATGGACCTCCATTGGAATGATTCTTTCACAAACCGTGCGCGGTCTTTACCCGGAATTTAACATTTACATATTATTGGGCTGGCCGCCCATTAGTGGTCAGGCTCGAAGAACACAGGAAGGCCACCATCCGAGGAAAATCACTGAAATCCGGTGTGGCAGAGCATGCATGGTCTGAAGGAGATCACAGACCTGCTTGGGATGATACCACCATCATCGACAAGGAGCCACACTGGAAAATCAGAAAGATCAAGGAAGCCGCACACATAGCCCTGGCCAACAATCTTATCAGCAGGCCAAGCGTTGACATCAGCCCAATATGGCTCCCGCTACTAAGGAAATCACTAAACGATCCGGGGGATAAATGACACCAAAATCTCAGCTCCGTAACGATTACTGTCTCGATAGTGGAGTGGTTGGAACCGTGGCCTATCACGGGGAGACCACGCTTATCACGGGGAGAACCCAAGTGCGATTCCCGCTGACCACAGGAACTTTCCAAAGACATGACGCCTACGGCGAAACGCCACCAACAAGGTCCTTCTAGCCCGAGCCAGGTAGGGGGGGGGGGCGAAACGGACCCCCTTGTCCTTTTCCGTAGATATATCCTAAACGGCTGCAGACATCGCCACCAAACTTGAAGGACCGCTTCGGACATCAATTTTACACATTGTGACCAAATTTTCCAGTACCATTATAGGTTGGCGACAAATGACGTCAGAGTGGAGTCATGTTCTGCCATTTTCGACCAAAAAAAAGGGTTTCGCGGGAAGAGTTGTCAGGCCTACAGCTTTGAAGATACAGAAAAATATTCAAACATAAAAGGTGTAGAATTGGCAGGGCTATAAAACTGCTATCTCGGATTTCTTGAAATATCTGGATTTTAACCTCCAATATCAACAAAGTATTTTTCTGATATAATAGCAAAACAAAAAACCCAAAAAAGTCCTTTTGAAGCAAAACGAACTATAATACTTTAATTTTGACGTTTTACAAAGGTCTGCAAAGCGGCCAAATTAACATCCTAATGGGGTTAGTTGACCGATGGGGTGGGGCAATTCGGCCGGTGCTAGTTTGAGACCCGGATTTTATGTTACAGGCGAGTCAGCTTCACCGTCAGCAATGACGTGCATCCTATACGCATTTTTAGGTTGGCTTGGTGTCGGACTTATATTCGAACGACTTGGAATCAGCAGTGATTTTAACATTTTCGTGCGCAGCTCAGAATGCTATTTCTTGGCACACACCGCTCAATTATAATTCGCATAAATTTGCCATAAAATATTTTCACAGTAAACCTTATAATTGGTGAAGGGGCATTGTTTGAGAGAAACCTTTCATTTTAGTTGAGGAATTGTCGACTTAGTTTAGCCCTTTTTTTGGCAATCAAGGAAATAAAAAATAAGTCTCAAACGCTAACAACTCGTAACCTTCCCATGTCTGCAAACAAGTTGTCGATAGTTTTCGCGAACTGCAGATGCGACTATTAGCTTGATTTGAGCAAACCCTTGGCTTATAAGTCGTTTTGCACAGCGCAGTGTCTTAACCAGCCCCATAGAAGGCATGTGCCGCAACGCCATCGCCGGCGGCTGTGGACCCGCCATCCCGCATAGCGACTCTTAGCATGTACCGGCAAAGTTGCCCCGCATCGCCATTCTAAAAAATGTTGCCTATAAGGTCCTTACGGTTATACGGAAATAGATGAACTTGCTCTTGGAAACGCTGAACACCCCCCCCCCCCCCCAGAATGGCGCCATAATGTCGGAATTCGTCTGCGGCCCAAATACTACGTGCTTCACGATTTTTAAACGGAAGTAAAACTTACCATTTTCTAGTGAAATTCACGTTTTCTTGATTTTGAATGAAATTATCAGGGAGGGTTTTGAAAATGTGTTTACGGGTTAGCTCCACCAATGACAAATGAATATAGGCTAGAGTTATTTCATTCACTTGTGTTAGCAGTTCCACTTCCACTTGTGTACAGGTGGATTGGCAACTTTACACCACTAACCAAATTACCCCACCCTCCTAGCTACAAGAAGTAACTGGAGCTTCACATTGTTTCTCTCTGCTTAAACCTAGGACAAAAGATAACAAGACAGACACTACGAGTATAATAGCTTCTACAAATACGATAGGTAGGTAGGTATACTTACAGAAAAGAGCAATTCACTAGTGGCGAATGCGGCTGAAACTTGGCACCACAAGATTCGTCCATACAAATGCTTGAAGACTGATGCACAAGCAGCATAAGAAACCAGGTAAATGATGTAGAAAAATGATACATAGCAAATGCCTGGAAAAGAAACAGTAACAATCAGCAAATTAAATTGGACAGGATTAATTCAGCACCCATGCCCCTTATCACTGTATTGGAAAACATCTAGCAGGGACAGGACCTGGTAGGAAGGAACGAAATAGAAACCTGAGACCCCGATCCACATCAAGATGGCCCCTGGTTCACAGGTGTCCACGTCACTGCTCCAATGTCGGGTAACCCAGCGTTTGCGGGCATCCAGGTCACTAGTGCGACTCGGCATCACCCATCCAGTTGCAAGTGTTAAGATCTCACACTGCCTGGGATTGTGACTCAGAAGTCAGACTGACCTGCTTGCCTGCTTGTTTGCTTGTTCTGTTGTATTGGATAAGGCCCTTTTGGCGTATTGGTCTAATCAGACAATGTCAGATCCGGAAGGATATAAGAATTAGGGGCTGCCCATGGCGAAGTTCAGTTGGCCTTTATTTTTCCACATCCAGCAACTGTATACTGACACAATTTTGTTCTCTTCAGATCGAAGCAACACTATTTACCCATATTACCATGAAACAAGGAATAATACACTAAACCAACCATTTATTTGAGGATTCAAATCCGGATTAACGACCATGAGCCAACTGGTCCGGGCAGCCTACTGTTACGTGTTGTCAACTTCTGAATGTCGGGTAAGGAGAGGTAACTTCGTGAAAAAATACACATTAGAGATGTCAATCGGATACCAACTTTTTGGTATACCGATACCAAACCGATACCAACTTAGTACTTGGTATATCAATCGTTATGTGTTTGGTATTTTGTTGGTATCATAAACCCTCACTAATGTATAAGACTAAGAAATCGGTAAAAAGTTGGTATTTCACTCATTTTCCCAAGTTGGTTTGGTTTCGGTATTTTCCCGTGGTTTTGGTTGGTATTTGGTTTGGTATCGGTATTCCGATTTTCCGTAATTGACATCACTAATACACATCTTCCCCCAGAGCCAATATTTTGCGTTGGTATGCAAAGGCTGAAGCATGGATGAAATAATACTGGATTGGTGTCTTCGCAATTTTTGGAGACATTGAGCTCAGACCTGCCATCTAGCGGGAGAATTATCGTAAGTTAGGAGCAAGCGAGTGTACGCCGTTGCTTAGCATTGTGACACACAGGAGTGTGGTGTAGTAGGTATAGCTGAAGCATGTCTAGCACGACCAATTCATTGCACACGCCATGGTCCTTCTTCGTTCGTTTTATCGTCTGTGGATTTTTCGCAAATTGCATTGTAAAAAAGACGTTTTGGCTCCTAACTTCGTAGGTAGGGTCATAACTTCGTGAATTATCTTTCGATGATAGTAAACAAGCGTTTGTCTTGGGATGCCGTAAAAACGAGAAATTTTGCTGAATTTAGCCTCTTTCAATAGCCGTCAGCGCATCTCGCATGTTGTCTTCAGACAATAATGGATATACCGGGTGGGCCAGAAAAACGTTCCCAACTTTAAATCAATATTTCTCAGAAAGTGCTAGCGATACAACATTACAACTTCCTATGGTCAATGCGGCATATATTGTCAGTAAATGGTATAATTTTTATGTTATTCGGTCAATTACTTTTTAAACGGTTCATGTTTCTAGCATGCCATGTAAAAATTACTTTTTTGCTCAGATGTTTACTAAAAAATGCAAGTGAACGGGCCACTTCCATCTCGGCACCACGGCCTGCAGCCATGACTGCTACTGGCAACTATTCTCAATGATGGTTCAGGCCTCAGGGTGACACATTCCCTCTAGCTTTTTTCCTTATTCGGTCGATTTACTGATTGATCTTCTTGAAGGGAGGGCGATCAGTAAGTAACCCATGCACCGTGCCACTCCTGCTCGAAACAGGACTTGTTGAAACGAATGGCATCCATCGATAGGTCTTGAGCACGTGTGGCATTTTAATGCCACATTTTATGTGGCATTTTATGTGGAATTATTTGAGGAGGGTGCGTCTGTCCGTTACCGAGGTCCCGACTTGGTGCTGCTTTGCGTGGACTACAGGCCAGACCGTTGCACCTAGCGCGGTGAAATTTGCACAACTTATAGATCAAGGATGCGCGACGTGCCTTTGAGGGGTCTGGGCTCGATCGGATTGATAGGGGGCGCGTGGCGCGTGCTCAAAAAGTGCAAATTCGCGTCATAGACTTTACATGTATAAATCGGCGTGCCAAATCGGGCGAAAACGGCTATTTTTGGCCGACACGGGTCCGGTCCCGGTGCCATACATCGGTAATCGGGCGCCAGAACGACACGGGGACAACAGCATCGTGTAGATAATTGAGCGGGCTGTCGAATGGTGTATGATGCAGAGGATGGCACGTGCCACGTGCACCCGTGGCCACGCCATAGTCTGCTTCGCGGGTGTGCCAAAATGACCTAAAGTCCAAATTTCCGGTATGCAGGGTCATTTTCAACGGCACGTGGCACGTGGTTCTGGACTTTTCCGGCCACTTTGCGACATACCCATGGGTAGTGCACCGAATGGTGGTTGATCCGCACGGAGAAAATCGGGGGTCGTTTATATCGTTTTCGAGCAATCTGCCGCGGAACGCATTTTTTCATTTTCCCCATTGGCTTAACATGGTAATTTTCAAAGTCACGTGGCACGTGCACCAGATCGTTCCCGGAGTAGAGACCCATACCAGAATCTAGATCACCTGGCCCACTAGAAATCCTGAAAAAATCAGAATTTTTGGAACAGTTGTTTTCTCGAGCATCCAAGAATCCTTTACTACTCAGGTTGGTTCACTATGGAAATAAAGGCGCCGTAGTGACGTCATCAGAGGAACTCCTTCACGTTCAAATGAATGGGTCATTTGAATTGCTGATTTTGGCTCGATATAGTCCTATTTTTTAGTTTCAGCCCCATTTAGCGTAATGAGGCGAATTCATTGTTACGTTGGTACAACTTTTGATGGCACATAATCCTTGTTTTTTTTTTCTCCAGCTCGCTCGAAAGATGATGAAATTTGCATGCATGCCTATGGGTTAAGGGAGATTCTACCGCCGTGGTGACGTCACTGTAAAGGGATTCTGGAGTTCGTGAACGGGGGCTGCGAGCGGCAAGTTGTACTGATCTCAGGCAGCTTTCGCCATATTGTCAGGGAACTCAGATTTGTTTTTCAATAGAAAAACACAATTCTAACGAATAGTGTTTTAACATTTACGAAGTAGTTTTGGCACCTTCGTAACATGTTACGAAGCTGTCAGAGGTGGTTGCCACCTACTACGAATACCCTTACTGGTTGACCTGACCTGACCTGACCCGACCTGGCCTAAATGCATGAAGACATCATCTGTGATCAAAACTAACATGATATTCGTGATCAGCACCCCGAAAAACCCCATAGCAGCCACGCTTTACGACTTTCTAACAGGTCCCGATTTTCCCGACTTTTGGGTCATTGACCTGACCTGGAAGGTCAACCGATGACCTAGGACCTTAAAATTGGGTACCATCGGCTTCCTCTCGTCACGGGCAACACGCTCGTTTTTTCCGCGAAGCTCTAGCTCGATCAGGGGCGAAACGGCAAGGGGGGGTCCAACGGACCCCCCCCCCCCCCTTATACGTTCGCGGCTGGAAAAACACCAATACGGGCGAGGGTTAAGATGTGTTAGAGATAAAAGCATGAACTTGCCAGCATTTTATGTGGAATTTGGTGTTTATCATGCCCACTGAAAGAAAACTTTATGAAATTATATTTGTATATCATTTTTTTATTTTTTTCTTCCTGTCCCTTAGCATCACACATCCATCTCAAAATATGCATGTGTATGGAAAAGAGGAAGAGGATGATGAATGAATGGGTGGATTTGTAAGGAAACATGTGCAATACATGTGACAATACACCTATGCATTCATTTTCCCTGTACACCTACTAGTTTATGTTGTACACAAAGTTTTGGAGATGTTTCAATTTTGTGAAAATGTAGCATGATTTTCAAAACCATTTTTGAACCAAATCACTTCCATGAAAAAAAACATGTCATTTTGTCCTATAGTCGAGAACAAAACAGACTCAACTACCAAACTTAAGTTTTTATTTAGCCTTCTCAAATTAGGAACTTAATATGACTCAGTTTTTCCCATGCAACTGTCCCTTATCACCCCACTGTCCCTTAACACCCCGTTTTACCATAGCCGTAAAGCAGGCATCACTTTTTTTGCAACCAACAGCCGCCAAGGAGAGGCGCTTTACCTAGAGAATTGAGATCAGTTGGGCATACTGTGGTAGGGGAGAGAGGTCATATTGCGCCACCTTAAGGATATCGGCCTATTGCGGCTAAAGTTGACCAGCTGTCATGCTTGATGATATCTCAAATTGTACCACAGTTATTTTGGCATCAAATAACAACTCCCAATTTGCATCACACCCAGAAAAATTAACAAGTGAAAAGTTTTCCGACACACCTGCAAAGGGCGCATTTACGGACTCCCCCATCAAAAAGCGCCCATGCCTCTCATGTAAAAGCGCCCTATTAAAAACAACGGTTTGCCACATAACTAAGTAGCCTATTTGAACGTGTCAGCCCAATAACCATTTATGCTGTGAAGGCTAAGGTAATGGTAAGATGAGCGCTCTAATGATCAAAGTGTTCAATGAAATGTCTCCCAACCACCAGATGCCGTTTCTCTGGGTTGAAGAATAGGGCGCAAATAGAGTGGGCGCAATTACGAATGGAACACATTTTTCATGAGCTTCAAATATGGCGACGACAGCGAAGCCACGGTGGTGATAAACTTTCAAAACTACCATTAAACGAGCAATTAACAATGATTATTAGTTGAATCACTATCTCTAAGATAAACCATGACACTAGCAAAGGTCGAAAATAAGAAAATAGAGGAAATCACAAAAATGGTCTGGGAGAAAGCTGAGACACCTCACCTGCCCCCGTGGACCGGAATAAGAGCGAGTTATTGGTGGTGAAGTAAATGCACACATTCGAGTATTCGTTCGAATCGAATTTTGGGCAGGAGGAAGGTGTGGCGCATTTAA